CAAAACTTAAGACAATAGGCTCTTTTATTGTAAGCCGGGACTTAGACGCCTTTGTTTGAGATTTGTTTTAATAAAAACAGTTGTATAGGGTAAAACAAATCTATAATCTAAAATGCAACTAGTGCATCACGTCTAAAAATAGAGCCTCGTCTTTGTATTCCCGAACATGTCAAACCTTTGGTTTGGAAACAAAAAAATGTGTTTTTGGCTTCCAGACATGATCTGAGCTGAACTGTTCACACAGGAAACATTTAAAAACTGGTTTCAAAGACAATCCATCTGTTTTCCTCCTTTGTTGGCTCTTTCAGAAGTGTTTTCTGTCACCCTAATTGCCTCACATTAAAAAAGAGAAGAGGACTCTCAGTGTGGCACGCTGTCAGAGTAAAACCCCGAAAAACAATTTCCTAAATTAGAAAGGATGCCGGCTGATTTTTTACGACTTATTTAAATGAGGAAGAACCTACCGGGAAAATGAGCTGAAGGAAAAAAGGTCTATTTGCATGCAGTTTAAGTGCATGTCGATCTAAAAAAGAATTGCCAATCAGATGTTTATGTTTACGCAGTTCTCTTATAGGAAGTGCATGCATGCTTTATTCTAACACCAAGATCAAAAGGTTGTTCTTCCTTGATGGTGCAAAGGCTCAAGTCAGTGGAAAACTGCTACAGTATGTCTTATTATTTTCTAAACAAATAAAATCCATCTACATGCCTCTGTAAAGCTCATAAATTAACCCTGTACGTCCTGTTTGCTCCATCTACTTATTACATGATGTCACAAAATGTTAATAAGACTAAAGAAATAGAGCCTTAAAGCTTCCAACAACGAATGTTCAGTCAGGTCATCTGGACGTTTTCTTTCTTTTTTATTTTTTTTATTTTTAAAGAAACCATCCAGATGACCTGACTGAACATTGTTGGATTTTATACCTGGATTATTGAGCATGGACTTTGGTGTTTTGAACCTACAAGCTTGTTTTCACACTCTCAGTTCACAAGGTGATGGAGAGCTTCAGAGGTGATAAGTTAGGATCTGTGCACATTAGAGTTACTATTAGTTTTTTGCAGTTATTAGTTGTTTTCCTCATTTATGGGTGGGTTTTTATTTTTGGTCTGTGTTTTGGGATCTTTGTGTTTGAGTTCTGTGACCTGTCCTCCGTTCAGTTTCCTGCTCCTGCCCCGCCCACTCTCACGTGATCCTCATCTCTGTGCTTTATTGTTTTCTTTTAATTTTTTTTGTAAATAAAACATTTTATTCTTGAGACTTTCAGTCCATTCTGCCTCTTCTGGGTCCTAACCTCTCACCAAGCCTGACAGAACGATTAACTTTGTTACTTTGGGGTTCCAAGTTCGTCCAGCGATTGTGTCGTGTTCGTCAGCAGGTTGTTTGAATCGTCAGGGAGGGAACAAACAGAACCTGCCTTTCCAACATTTCCTGAAGAAAGCTCCAGAGCTCTGAATGTAGAACATTGTGATGCTGCAGAGACGTTGCCATCAAATTCCTTCACAGAGATTCCCTGAAGTCCCTGTACGTGGAGCACTTACCTAACGTCACCTATTCAGACCTCTAAAATGTACCTCACTGATAAACACAAAGACCCCCCTCTTCTAAAAAGGAAGACTGCCGTCGCTGGAATCCATTTTGACCTCTGTTCTGAGCTGCTGTTCAGAAAACGGTGAAAAGACAGCTTTGGTTTGTTCTGATGAGTCCTACAGTCTGCAGACAAGCTCAGGAAAATCCTTTAACTGATTTCTGTGGGAAATCTCCCCAACAGAAACAGAAAGTTTACAACCAGTGATGAAGGTAATCATAGGCCTTCAAAGCTTTAGCTAACTGGCTAAAGGTTGCCATCAATATTTCAGTCTAGACTAAATTAAATCAAGGTCCCAGTGTAATGTTACATATGTTTCAAGGAAATAGAGCTACTTTGTTCTATTTATTTCAGTTTCTGCCGTCATAAACAGAAAACAATTGATTTTATTCTCTATTTTTCCAAGTTGCTAAACAATTTTTTACTTTTTCTTTTGTGACTATGAAGTTTTTTTGTGCATTTACCTGTGAATCACTGTATTAAATATGAAAATGTGAATGATAAATAAATACTAAATAGAATAATGTATAATGAATAAAAGTGATTTGAGTGTGTTTGTTTGTGTCAGGTTTCTGTGTTCATATCATGAGTACCTACACTTTCATTTGCTGTAAGACTTTTCTCCTTGTTCATTCAGAAGAGGCCACGTGTGTTTTAATTCTACACGTGGTTCTAATCAGCGCTCTAGCAGTAAACCTCTGCATGCCATTTGAACGCATCAACTCAGAAGAGTTAGGTTACAATCTGTTGTCATCACATCAGTTTTGTTTCCCTTCGTTCCTTTGGGCTAAGCCTTGGTTTCCTTTGTTTGACTTTCTAGTTAATTATAGCTCTCTTTGTGGATTCTGCCTTTACAGCCTTTGTTTTTCTGAAGATTTAACGTTTATTTTGCTCAGCCTGCCAGCTGTCTCCGTTTGGATTCTCTACTTCAACCTTCAATTGTGTTGCGCTAGAACAACTCAAAATCTGCAACAAAAATGTCCATCTTGGATAAAAATCTGACACAATTTGGTGGAAAAGTGCAAGTTTAGTAGATGACTAACTTAGTCAGATGTTGATTAAAGATGTCTGGATTTAGCCAGGTTTGGGAGGAATAAGGTCTCTGTGGGATCTCTGACTTTTGACTGCACCTCTCCTATTTTAGTGGGTCTGTTCTGTACCAGTTTGCCGAAGAGGAACGTGGTCAGAAGTGATGATGCACGATGTGGGAGGAGTTTATGTATAAAATGGAGGGCAAAGTGTTTGCCTGTAGGAGGAGGTGTCACCATGAATCCTGGACACCCTGTTAGAGTGATCTAAAAGTTCATATCTTAGATCTTATTACTGTTTTTCTTTTACATTTTATTATTGGATGTAACTGGGACCCTGCGTACATAATTTCGTTCCACCACATGTACCACATGTGATGCGAATGACAAATAAAGAAACTCTGACTCTGACACCAAAATGGAAGTCAGTACCTCACTTATTGATCAGATTTTCATACATGTGCAGAAGGACAGAGGGTGTTTCCATTTCCCCATTCTTCACTCCATGATGGAGAACAACAACCTGAGATTTTTTTGCAAGTTAAAGCACAACCTGAAATTTATCATGTTCAGGAGATTCGCTGACTTTATTCATCAATTTAAGATTATGTTTCGAGGTTGGCATCGGAACAAATTTAGTATATTCATATCAGTCATAAAGTCACAAACGCTGCTAGATCTGAAGTGAACAGCCGAGACATTTACTGTCACTTGAATAGGTGAACAAGCTCCACCTGCTCAAGGCACGGCTTTGTTTGCCGGTGTATAAAAGGAGCCGCTCAGAGTCATTATGGATAAGGCTGGTCGGTTCTACACTATGACACCGACTGTGAGGGAGTGCTCCTACTGAGCAAGGCACTGAGGTCATTAGCATTTCCAGAGCTGTGCAAATTACTGTAATTTATCGTGCTTTATTTATTAATAAGTTAACACTTTGAGGCCCATACAGAATAAGATCGCACGCCAGATGCAGTCCAGGGTCTGTCAGTTGAGGACTACTGGTTTAGTGGAGTATAAGAAAGATCCCACGAGTTGAAGAAAGAGACCAAAGAGGATGATTTCAGTAAAGATTTTTTAGCTCTACCTGCTTGAAAGACAAGCAGTAATAACTAGATGCTAACAAAATATCATATAAACCAGACAAAAATATGGCTGCAACACAAATTTTGACAGATTTTGAGCTAGAATTTGGCGTGGTAGTGGCTGAGAGTCATCCCCCAACACATATTATGAGCATTTAAAAATTGTGTGAAACGTTTGCTCTAAACTTTGACATGCAAGGCAGCAGCGATAAGCATTCCTTCAAGGAATTTAATTATATTTGAAAATTGAAGTTTTTGTGCCTGATGGAGGTGTACAGGCGGTAATAAGTTCTGTGTCGGTGTGTGTGTGTGTGTACATGGATGAGGAAGGGGAGCTCATTTAGCTCATTACAACTGGTAACAGCTGTCTCAGCAGGAGCTCCTCTACTCCTCACTCTGAAACACAAACAGCTCAGCTCCACAGGACAGAACATGAGACGTTTCTCTTCAACGTTAGCAGGATCACAGCAGAGCACAAAAACACGTACGGTACTTTAAGCAAGCTGCCAGTACTTAAATGAAATCCTTTTTTTTTTTTTTTTTTTACAGAAAACTAATGTTTTCATGTCGATTCTTTCGCGCGTGTTTGTAAAAAACAAAAATAAAGTTGTAAATGAATGGCGTCCCCCTGTTTGAAAGGGTCAGGATTTCCTGAGCAGCCTGACCTAACCTGACTCCGAGCATAGGTGGGTGCAGGGATGTAAACTTGAATGAGACATTGTTTGTAGGGATTTCCACCAGCTTTTCCTTTCTGATACCAGCACTACAAAGTTTTGTGTTCCAACAGCAAGAAACAAAGGTGGGAGTTGTCCACCCTGCGTTCTACTTGCATCTTTCTGATTTTGTGTTCGGCCTAAAGGAACATTCACTGTTTTATTTTAAGTCTATTTTTGCCCTTGACTTGATTTTTAGACAGGAACAGAGCTATGTATACTGAAAACAGAAGCTGCTGCCTCCTAAATCACGATGCTGCTTTATTCTTAGTACTCAACAATTATTAGGGTTTTCCTGCTATTTTCCATGTCCCTGAGATATCCTGCTGTGTTCTCACCCTACTCTATACGTAAGCAGCACGTTACACCGGTTATTTTGTGATCTCACCACACCCTGGGCCCAGTTCTGGCTCAACTCTGTCAGACAGCAGTCAAGATGCCGCTAGGATACCAAGCCATGTTAGCACGAAGCGCCAGCTTGTTTCCATGACCTTGTCACGATCTGCAGATGTTTTCTGTACTTTGCAACGTCTTTTGGGGAAAAATTAACCACACGTTGATTTAGTATGTTTTCATTTATTTATTTATTTTGCTGCAGTCAATAAACACTTTAATTTTCCAGACAAAGCCTAAGAATCCCTCTAATTTTATTTTGTTAGATTTTATTTTTAAATTCTCTCATAGCCTCACAGTGACTTTATTACACTCGTGTTCCCTAGGGGAAAAATCGGCCACATTAGAATACACTAAAAACAACTTTTAATACCATTTTTATCATTTCATAAAATAATGTTTTCCTTTCAGTAATGTTTTTTCTTTTCACATCTATCCATATACTTTGGGTTTGTAGATTAGCTCACTAGATGGTGCTACACTTGTACATTTAAAAGCCTCTTTAAAAATTCACAGAGACGGACTTCATCTAGAAGCAGGAACGTTCTCTTGGCTAGATGCCTCTCATGTTGTCTGACAAAGTTGTTTTAGTTTGGATGTAAAGTGCAAAAACTCTTGTAATGTGCACAAGTAAACATTTAGTATGTCCTGATGCTCAATAATCCAGATAGATAAATCTAACAAGGTTGAGTTAAGTCCTCTGGACTGATTCTTCTTTTTGAAATCCTAACTGGGCCTTCCTGAAAGCAGAGAAGAAACCCAAACAGGACTCCAGTCAGCCAACAGGTGAAAAGGAGCAACCCAGACCCAGACCAGTGGTCATTCCATATGTTGAGGGAGTATCAGAGAAACTGAGACGTTTACTTTCTAAACATAACGTCCCAGTGGCTTTTAAACCCCAAAATACATTACGGCAAAGACTGGTTCATCCCAAAGATCCAGTCCCCCGGCATAAACAGAGTAATGTTGTGTATGCTGTTCAGTGTCAGGAGGGCTGTGATCAGTCTTACATCGGGGAAACTAAACAGCCACTGGCCAAAAGGATGGCCCAGCACAGAAGATCAACATCATCAGGCCAGGACTCTGTGGTCTACACTCATCTCCAGGCCAGCGGTCACTCTTTCAGGGATGAAGATGTTCACATCCTGGACAGAGAGGAACGATGGTTTGAGAGAGGAGTAAAGGAGGCCATCTTTGTGAAAAGAAATCGTCCATCATTAAACAGGGGTGGAGGCCTCCGGGTTCAACTGTCCCCCTCTTACAATGCTGTGATTGCTAGTATCACTCAACCCTCTGTGCAAACAGCCATCACGGCACTACCGGTTGATTGTTGGGCTGATGGGCCTCCTTTACCATGTGAACAGCTAGTTCTGACTGTCAACAACAAACTGGTTGATCCACTATGAGAAGGTGCCATTTACTGTATAAGACTGAGTTTGTTGCAGCTCCTCAGACTGAAGGGTTTTTTTGGATAAAAGATGAAACGTTTCAATAAAGAAGAATCGTCCAGAAGACATGACTCAAAATTGTTAGATAAACATTTAGAACTAAAAAGCTGTCTCACATACATGCTAGCTGCAGAATTAGACGTTTCACGACTGAACGCTGTTTGTTTTCTCCAAAGCAGGACATCATTAGCGGGTGCGCCATGCTCCCGCAGCTCGCTAATATATCGGGGTCAGTAAAAGCGAAAAACAAGAGAAACTTGAGCTGTTACAGAGGAAACAATGATCAGCAGTAAGGAGTGATACAGTGAAGAGGTTTTCTGTACAGAACCTCACCCACATCCACCCTGTTTCACTTTAATTCCAGCAGGTCTGACCATCATGAGAACAAATAAAGGATGCTTGGGATGGTATTTACTGGCGTGTGGAGAGATAGGACTGGATGTCTCCAGCAGGTGCCATATTTGTGGCTGGCGGAGGGCAGGGTTCTTATACATGTTTTACACTGCTCCCAAAAAATATTTGGTAATAATACTTCAAAAGGTCTCAGTGGGAACTTTTACCCAGGACCACCAAAGAGGGCGATACAACAATAGTGGAACCCATGGAGATCTTCACCGCTCCATGGTGTGGCTGATTGTTTAACATCGTAGCAGGGTCGTCATTCACCGTTTTAGTTTGAGGCAATATAAAACTGGACTTAAAAAGATGAACAGCAAATACTTTAACTGTTAAATGTTTGTCAGTAATCTTGAAAGTGAAAGTGAAGTTTTATGCTTTACATCGATCCCTGGGAACCTTAAGCTGGTCTTTAAGATTTATCGGCGTGGGTGCGATGATGCTGAGCAGAAGACGATGAGAAACAGCGGCTCTCACCTGGTCTGACAGAGGGGAATGGGTAGAGAGATGCAGAGGAACGGGTCAAAGGTGTTGCTCTGTTTCAAGCAATGCGGGCACGTCAGGGAGGATCTGAGGAGACAAAAGAGAACAGCCAGATTTGACACAGATATCCAAATGAACCCTGAAAGTCTTTCTGATTGAGTCCAACACTTTAATCCTGTTACACATATTAAAACTCAGCCTTCCATTCAGGTGCCTTGATCTGATTTGTGAGAAAAGAGCAGATAAGTGATGCAACTGGTGACAATGAGGGAGGCGGGGGACGGGGGCGAATGTAGAATTAGTACAAGCAGCCCTCCTGGGATGGATCGCGTCGTAACGACAAACCAACAGATGAGGTTTCCATCTTGTTGCGTCACTTTCAGCGTAACGTGCAGAGCTGAGGATTGTTCTTCCCTCACAGCTGAAGAGAAATGACAGAATACAGCGGCGCTGATTGTTCTACTGCAGCAGTTTCCATAAAAAAAATTATATTTTTTACATGTCAATAAAAACATCACAATGGGAATGACACTTGTCAGTAAAAAATTTGTCAGTGACTGAAACTATTTTCAAAAACTTTGTCTCTGCAATGTAAA